ATAATTATATATATATATATATATATATATATATATATACAAAATACATTATACATTTTATAAATTAAATCTTTACTGTCACTTTTGATTAATTTAATGTGTCCTTGCTGAGTAAAAGTATTCATTTCTTGACCTTAAACATTTGAACAGTACTAGTAATAGTAGTAGTAATATGATTTGCCAAAAACAAAATTTACAGAGTTTGCTTTTACCCTTTAAAAAGACACTAAATGCATGAAAATGTTACCATAAAAAAAAAAAAATAATAATAATCATTATTATTGACCTGGAATTACTAAATCTATTGACAGCCCTGCTTGAATTTCTTCAGCCACCCAAGATTGTTTATTTGTTGCCTCAGGTATCAGTATCAATAATGAAGTACCAACGTCTGCTAGTGTACCGAAGCCAAAATTGGTCTCAATCTCAAAAAACAAAAAAAAGGACCAGAGGCTAGTAGTGTACTGAAGCCATAATTGGTTTCAATCCATCCCTATCACACAGTTCTATTATCAATCTTTTCTGCTGTAGTACTTCAATCTGGTGTGTCAGTTTGAGGTCGGTGTTAAATCATTCTGTAATGGCTTTGAGACTCTTATGCACATAAATAAACGCAGTGGTGCTGTGCCGATTGTACCTGACCATCGCAGAGGTCAATAAGTGGGGCCTTGTCCCTGCTGGCCCGGATGAGTTTACTCTGTAGCAGCTTGCCGTCAAAATACATCCACGGACAGCAGTGTTCCCAGGGAATGGGCTGCCCACACACGTCATTGGCAAACAGCGCCATATCCACGCCGCTCATAAAAAGAGCAGCCAGCTGAACGCCGCGTGGATCCAGGTTATCAATCTGGGGGCAACAGATGCAGTGACAGTCAAACAAAGCTCTTACGGTTAAATAAGCAGCTACATGTTAAACCACCCAGTAGATTACAACCCCTTCCCCCTCAGCCAAAGCACAAAGCAAGCATGAACAAATCTATCCAAACATGTAGACTAATGCACGAACCACTCCAGCCAATTCAGCCATTGAGAGCAACCAGCAATGGCAGCAGCAAAGCAAACGACAGAACTGACAGACACGGACAGCCACGACACAGCACAGCACAGCCTGCTGTGTGGATGGTTTACATGTTTTTATGAGCTCACTGCCACACTGACTGAAATGAGCAGAAAAAAGCCACTCAGATAGCTAAGTAAACCATCTACACAAAAAGACTACATTCCTAGCACTCGGGTTACTCAAATGCCATGTCTTTTCCCGCAAAGCCGACTATCAGATGAAAACATGCTTTTACAAAGCATTAAGGCCAATCAGCCTGGCAAGCGTTCTTACAAAGTAAGAAGTATCCAGAAAAATACCTAAAACCCCACTTTTTGAAACAAGAGGCTTATTGCTTTAAATACATTAAAATGCAAACATCTTTACCAGATTGTTAAATAAACTGGAAAGAAATGTAGGCCATTCACACCAAATCTGAATGTGAAACACCATACGCAAGCTTTAAAACTAATATTTTATCTATTAACTCCTTAACAGAATATTTATTTAATAATTTAATTTCATATTTTAAATGAAAATCTTCATAAAGGTATATAGAGGCTAAAAACATTTTTAGTTTGGATACCAACAAATGTATTCAGGTATCCAAACTTAAAACAATTATATAAAGTCATTCTGATTATAGTAAACTTTACTTTCGTTACCGTTATCATACTGGCCAAATAGCTTTGCATACTAACAACTGTTTGCAGATTGTGACGAGAGGGGCGGGGCCGAGAGCCGTGGGAACGGAGCGAGAGGACCAGGCCTGGATTTTCTCTCGTCTTTCCCTGTCATCACTCCTCCTTTGTATCCTTCCGGAGCTCCTCCGTGAGACTCGAGACCGGTGAGTGGCGCAGGTGTCGCGCATTCGCAATTACTCCACCGGCCTCGCTCAGTTCCCACGGCTCTCGGCCCCGCCCCTCTCGTCACACAGATATTTAGAATTTTCATGTTTCATGTTCATTTGACAAAATGTAGGTATTATTATTCTTTTTTTTAGAGAACGACAAATTTGTCGGCAGATTCTGTTCGAGTAGTTTTGCGCTCAACTTTTTGCGAATATTTTTTGTTCATGATGTTTAGTCACATATGCCTTGATGTGAACGGGAATGTGGGTTTGTGGGTATTCTCTGGACACTCCTCATGCATCATTCTCCACATAAATCATCCTCTATGGTGACAGATAACTTAATCTCACCCTGCAAAAAATAACCATCAAACATTGTCAACCATAACAGTTTAACAAGGAGTAGTTGCAAAGTTACAGCTGAGTTGCTAGTAACTAAAAGCTGACCTTGGTAAGCACATGGTAAATATATGGGTACATGAGGCCCTTTTTATGTCTGTGCTCAGCGACTCGTAGCACCTCTGGTGCCACCACTGGTAAAGGGGGAGTGGTAATATCCATGTGATTTCTTGTTGGCATAGAAAGGAGGGATGGAATTTGGGCATTGACCCCTACGTGACCTTTCTCCTCTGGGCCTTGGTTTACAGGAGAGGTCACAGAAGGATCAGACTGAAAGAGAAATGAAAGAATTCAAATGGATATAACATTATTGTATCAAGCTTGTCTATCAAGTTATCTTTTAACAAGCATATAATATTTTAACGCCGAGCTAAAAAGTCGACCCACTTTATTTTGGTCCCCATGGTCTCCTTCTGGGATGTTGTCCATCTGGGTTCTCTGTTTGTCCCATCCCTTATGGTCACTTACGTGGCTACATTTCAGAATGAAATGGATGCACCAATATTAAAATTCAGCCAAAGACCAATAACCCATATTTCCATATTTTGCCCAATAACAGATTACAGGGGTTAAAGCAACAAAAAAAAAACCCTGAGCCTGAACTTTTTTCCGGGGGGCGGGGCAGGGGGGCAGCACATGCAAACATGCAATGACTGTGGCAACTTTAACATTTGAAAGGATACTATGGCAAAGTTATCGCTTTCCTTATTCAAACTGATTTTTTTTCATGAATATATGGTTGACCTGAAGAATGACAGCTATATCATACACTTGTAAAATTATGAGCATAAGTGGTCTGCAGGTCTGCATGCACGACCAAAACAAAAAATGCGCTGTGTAAATAAGTTCTGACAGCGCATTTGTGTATCGACATGATTGACAGCTGTTAATATACAATCACTATTTTAGATCGACAAGCTGTACTGTATAAGATTTCTATTAAAACTGAAAGCATAAATCTAAGCTATCCGCTGCCGTTTTTTCAAAGTACAATGCAAAACTGTGACATTTCATTCACTGACGTTCTTCAATCGGCAGCTCCAAACCTGGAAGTGCATATACTTACTTTGCCGGCAACCCACCAAAATAAAAGCCTGCTGATTTTAAGTTCAAAGATGAAAATTACAAAAAAATGAGTAAATATGAACATTTTATTTTTAAGTTTACTATAAAGTAATTGTATTTAATACTTCCCTTTAATTTTAAAATATAACAGTATTAACACACTTTATTATTTAGTTTATTAATTTTATTTAAATAAAACTAAATAAATAAAGTGCAATATTATTATCAGTCTTATTAATTTTTTTAAAACAATAGTTATATTTAATGGGTAACAGTATATGCAGTGTGAGGACCAAACCAAATCTCCAGGTTCTCATATGAGAACCAGGCTGGTAAACTTATGTGCACCCCTGCCTATACATAATATGAACATAACCAACTTAAGTACATTATGCATTATAACAAATACCTGCAGAGAGCGCCAACGGCCTGGTGACGTTTCACTTCACAGCGTGATTAATATTATTACAATTTAAAATAATATTTTACACATTTTATTCCTGTGATGGCATAGCTGGATTTTCAGCAGCCATTACTCCAGTCTTCAGTGTCACATGATCCTTCAGAAATCATTCTAACATGCTGATTTTGTGTTTAAGAAACATTTCTTATTATCAATATTGAAAACAATCGTGCTGCTCAATATTTTTGTAAAAACCATGATAGGTTTCTCAGGATTGTTTGATGAATAGAAAGTTCAAATGAACAGTATTTATTTTAAACAAATCTTTTGTGATGTAAACGTCTTTACTTGATCAATTTAATATGTTTATCCATATATTTTATTTATTGTACATCCCTAACTAATATGAAAAATATGCATCAGAGTTTAATGTATATGTCTGCAAAGATTGGTTAGGCAAACTTTTATAAATGTATTTATGACCTTGTAGAACATCTCAGTCAGTACAGCAAACAACACTTTCTGCAGCAAAAACCAGTGGCAGTAAGCATCAAAACAATAACTCTACCCACAAAACTCTGTACACACAAAACCTGGGTTAAATTTATGACTAGAAGAAAGCCTTTTTGGAAAGACAACATATCCCACATACATTCCCTTGTTCTCGGTTACTCACTTGGCAGTGGAGCCTGTGTTTTCTTCATTCTCGGAGGACGAGGATGTGGACGAGGTGATGAAGAAGGCTGGGTCTGTGTGGTTGGAGTTGCCGCCGTGAGATGGGTTGATGGGGGACAACCTCTCGTAGAGCGGCGTGTGCTGCTTCCCATCATTAGGAATGTTGCTGTAGCTGTTCTGTTCTAGGAGCCCTTTAGCTGACGGGTCCGCCTCATGGACAGGCTCGGCAAACGGAGGGCCGGAATAGCCATGCTGGACCTGGGAGAATGAACAGATACATGTATGTGTCAGTCTGATGGGTAAGCGCGAGTCATTCAGGATGGACCATAATGGTGAAATGGTACTCACCCCAGGTTTGCCTGGAATGTTAAGCATCTGCGGTGCTGCTGGCAATCCCATCTGATTTGGTCTAACTGTGGGCATACAAATGTAAAAAAGAATCTGGTTCAATCTGAAACTGAAAATAATGTAGAGAAACTTGGAAAGAAAAACAACCATTCCCAGACAAGATATATATTTTTTATTGCTAAAAAAGCCCTAACTGAGATTCTCGTTATACCGCATGTCCACCCACCTTGGAAACTGACCTTGATGCATTCAAAATGTGTGTAGGCACAGAGACGCAGTGAGGTATATGAGAAACAGCCCGCATTCATACCATTCTAACAACACCAGAACATTTAAAATCATGCAAAATGTCAGTCTGTCTGAATTTGATTAAAGACTATTATAGTTCTACAAGACAACCACTATAATTTGTCAAACATGCTCTCACTGATTGGAAGATGCCGAATTTAACTATTCTCTCATCCCATAATGTTCAACTGACACCCTTTCAATGAACCTGTTGAAAGTTTTCAGCTCTCTGAGTGAGAGTCCTTTCTAAAGAAGTCCATTTGTATGCACAAAGGCCATTCCAAGTGCACACAAGGTCTGAGGCAAGTGGAAAAATTTCCCACATTACTGTGAGGGCTGAGACCGAGAGACGTTTAAGAAAGAGACAGAGCATGCCTCTAAAACCTGGCCTCAAACACAGACAGGAAAACACAACACCAGACGAGCATTAGTACACTTGTCCTGCTCCAAGAATTTAACCAGGATGAACCAACAGGAACGGATGTCATTCTGTCAGAGAGGGAAAAACATTGACAATCTTACCTAAATAAGGGGGAAAGTGAGGGGGCTTGCTGGCGGTGACGTAATACTCCACTGCTTTTTTGAAACGGACAACTTTGTCATCAGTTCGAGACTAGAATGCAAAGCCACAGAATTAGCACATATTGTCCACAATTCTTGGTAGTTTATAGTTCCTCCCCCAAAAATGAACATTTTGTCATCCTTTACTCACCCAAATGTTGATCTAAATGTATATGACTTTATTTTGTGGAACACAAAAGTGTATTTTGCCCATACACTAAAAGTCAATGGTGTCCAATTTGTTGTTTTGAACCCCATTGACTTTTATTGTTTGGACAAAATAACTGAATCATTCTTCTATTGCGTCCTGTACAAGAAAAAGAAAGTCATGAAAATGATGACATGAAGGTAGGGCTGCACAATTTGGGGAAAAATAGATTTTTGAAAGAAAAAAAAGAAATTATTTTTTTCAATTAAAATTTGTGACTGTGGTTTAATATATATATATATATATATATATATATTTTTTTTTTATATTTTAAAGCTCCATGTTTGCTTTGCTTGTTCATAGAGCTGCACAATCTGGCCCAAAATGTTGCAGTTATAGAGCAATATAATTGCAAAATAAATAATAATAACAAAATAATAATAGTATACAAAATAAGAAATTTTATTATATTGATATTTAAGACAAATGTAAAAAAAAAAAAAAAAACTAACATTTTATTTTACAGTACAACTGTAAAATTACAACACTAATATTTATGGTACCCTAAAGCATCTCTTTAGCTGACAACTAGGGGTTCTCTGATCAGGATTTTTGAGGGCGATCACCGATCACTGATAACAGAAAGCAGTATCTGCCGATACGATCACCGATACCGATTTTTTTTTAAAGCCTTCTTTTTATCATGTGGAATTGTTTATAGTGATGATCCAATCAAGATTTTTAGACATTTATTCAGGGCCTGAATTTCATTTTTGAAAATTAATTCCCCTCTGAGGTGACTCACTTTTTTAATTTGGAGGGGGGCATTTTTTAGACATTTTTCAAAAATATATATTTATCTCACCTAAATGTTTGATCATGCAGTGCATTTTTGTTTTTACAATCTTGCAATTGTTGCACAATAGCTTACACACAGCACAAGCCTGATTTCGTGAGCTGTATGCGAGGCAGTGTTACACAAGGTTCACATGCGTATGCAGTCCGTGTGCAGTACATAAGCGGTGCAGAAGCAGCAGGTGCTCACTGCGCTTTGTGAGTCCACTACTCTGATCCATGAATTTTGATTTCAAATCCAAACACTGTTACTGAACATGCTTTTTCAGCATTATGATTCTTTTTTTCTTTTTTTTACACACAAAGTAATACAATCTTTCATAGACGTGTTTAAATGCAATAAATATAAGAAACACATTATTCAATGCTTTTTACTTTTGCATTTACTTCTAGATTTATACATAAAGTTGCTCAAGCAAGTGGCAAAACATTGAAACTACTTTTCTTACATTCACAAACATTCTAAATTAAAACTTACCATTGACAGAAACAGTCAGCTCTACTGCCTTTTCTTTTGCATTTATTTCTTTATTACAAGCAATCCTGCGGTTCATAAAGAACTTTTTCCTACCTCCACAAGTGCCATCTATTATTGCCTTATCTAAAAGTGCTCTTTTTCTTTAAGCCTAGCCAAAAAGCCATAGCCTATGTGATGACTGTGAAACACAGTAGACTTTAATTCTATGCATTTATGGTATAATTATTAAATTTTCGTGTCAATCCATGTTCATATTTACCGCAAACAACGCGTTGTTACGGTGCGTTTCCACTACAGCATCAAATCTGCGCTCAGCCGCTGGCAACGCTACAACGCCACTGCTTTGGGGCGTGTCAAATTTAGTGCAGAGCACACCTCTGAAAACAATGTTTACACCCTGTTTGCATTTCATCATCTTTTCACAGCGATTGGTTGTCGCCCTGCGTTTTTCGAGGAATGCCCAAAATTTTTGTTGCTCTCGGCCACTCTCAACACTTTCTCTGCGCCGCTTTCAATCCCATAATGTACCGCGCAAGCGTTTACGCTCAACTTCCATAGGAATTAATTGAAAACGCTCGCTACGTGCCAGTGGAAACGCACCGTCACTTTAATTCAGCACTTGCAGCGCAGCAAACTCGGTGCAGAAACGATCTCTGCACTGCTGCAGACGCACCGCTCTAGGAACGCACTGCCGAATTCTGCACCCCTGCCAGATTATGCACCCCCTCGTTAAAGTCGCTACTTGATTGCCTAATCCCAACCCAACCCCACCCCTAATCCTAACCCCTCCCCCAAACCTACTCCTAAACCTACCAATACTAGGGGGTGCATAACCTGGCAGGGAGCAAATTTTGGCACTACACCGGTGTGCAACTGTGTGCAGTGTGAACGCTTTAGTAATCCGTTAACATGAGTGTGGAAAAATACACACTACATACACACTGCAAACGGAGTATGTGTGAACCTGCATTGTGTGTGTGCACTTAAAGTGTGCATGAGCGCTCAGTCTCCAGGAGAGCGCTGAATGGTTTAAACACTGGCAAGAATTAAAAAAAAAATGCAATTAATAAACTTTAGTAACGATACGACACTGCCTCGATAGTGCAAGTGACAATTCCTGTGTCAACTCAGCAGCGTGCAGCTAGCTTAAAGTGCAGACGCGATGTGATTTGAAGTCATTTACGCATTTTGAGAGAGAGCGCACGCGGTGATTCACTCACGCTGTTTGTGAAATTATGTCTCACAGAAAGTTTTCAAATTACTTTAAAAGTTATTTAATGATGGAATATTAATTGTACCTCACCTTCAGCATTATAATTATTTTACCCGCGCCGGAGAGAAACTGCAGACGGTGCCACTGCATGTCATGCCAAACCACCGATCAAACATCCCAAAGCGATCATCAGCCGATAGTGATCGGTAGCCGATCAATCGGAGCACCCCTACTCACAACAGTTTTTAAGTGCTTCTAATTAAAAGTTTGGGATGATGGTTGCATTTGGAGACGCTGAAAACACTGGCTCATGAGCTGCTTGTATTTAACAAAACACAGTGCTGTGCTTCACTCTGAAACACACAGCACTATTTGTGTGTGTGTGTGTGTGTGTATATATATATATACAGTGGGTACGGAAAGTATTCAGACCCCCTTAAATTTTTCACTGTTTGTTATATTGCAGCCATTTGCTAAAATCATTTAAGTTCATTTTTTTTCCTCAATGTACACACAGCACCCCATATTGACAGAAAAACACAGAATTGTTGACATTTTTGCAGATTTATTAAAAAAGAAAAACTGAAATATCACATGGTCCTAAGTATTCAGACCCTTTGCTGTGACACTCGATAATGAATATGCACGATATTGTTATCGTGAGCACTTCAAAATATCGAGAATAATTATTTAGAATAAATTATTCAGAATTTTGAATGCACTTTCTTTAAGAATACTTTCCCCATCAACTGGTCACAATGCACAACATCGCTGTATGCTGCGTCAAGACACGTGCGCACTCTGATGTAAACAAACACGGATGAGAAGCGCATGGCGGAACGCGTGAGAGATGCTCTGGATGAAATCACATTCACTCTCTGACAGCAGATGTCGCTAAACATAATGCAGCTGTTACCCCAGAAATCCCGTAAACAAAACAGCTTTCTGTTTCGGAAAGTGTTTAAATGATTTAAATACCCATTCAGATTTTTGTATTGACTATGGTGTTCATCACAGTGCCAAATATGTAAATATTTAGACTTAATAGGCTATTTATTTTCAAACATGCCCTAGATATTGTTTGAAAGTGTTTTGATTCTTTATTGTTTGGTCAAACTTTACATTAGGGCTTCATTAGTTAACATTAGTTAATTCATTAGTTAACAAACTGCCAATGAAAAATTCTTCTAAACATTCATTAATCTTAGGTAATTCCAATATTTAATAAAACATTGTTAAAATCAAACGTTGCAACCGTGTTATTTAATGAGCTAACATGAACTAAGGGTTGTATTTTTTTAACAAAGATTAATAACGTCTGTAGCAAATGTAGCTATTGCTCATTGTGAATGTTAATGCATTAACTAAGGTTAACTAATGAGGTCTTATTGTAAAGTGATACCTATTGGTCTTTATAATTATTTTGCACTTTAATCTGTGTAAAATTTTTAACTTTATAAATTTTTTTGAGTATTGCTTTATTGTATTTAAATGTTCAGTTATTTTTGTCATAAGAAAAAGGTTATTAAACCTGTTATACTGTATTATGACAACACTTTTTTGCAACTAAATTTCAATATCATGATAATACCGTATACTGTGATAAAAGCATTATCAATTAATCTCAACATGAAAATTCAGATATTTTCATTATATATCTCCCCTGAGTGCTCGTTTTTGAAATTATTGATGATCGAAATGAGAAATTGCCCATCATAATGAAAATAAAAATATGACATGAAAACTTGTCTATAAAAACATGAACACATGATTAGAACACTGTTAGATTATGATTATGATGCAGCAATGTTATTAAAAAAGAAGCATCTAAAAAGGAACAGCTGCCTGAGGAGAAGCTCAAGAGTGACTTTATGCCAATAAACTGAAGCATGTTCTATGACACATCCTATGATATTAATCAGATAACTTAGATACCTAACATAGATGTAACATTACAACTTGTATCTGCACAAAAAGATGCAAATGCCAGTGAACTTTCAGGTACGAGAGAGAGAGAGAGAGAGAGAGAGAGAGAGAGAGAGAGAGAGAGAGCTCCCTCCATGATGCACTTTCATGGCAGCGCGCTGCAAGGAAAGCAGATAGAATTTACTATAGATTTCACATTCTATAAAGTTCTAATTATAATGCTATGTTTTTGAAATGCCAGTGAATTTTAAGTTACGCGCTACAGCAAGAGAGAGAGAGTGAGCGCTTTCATAACAGCGCGCTGAAACACAGGCAAGGAATTTATTATAGATTTCATACTCTATAAAGTTCTCATTATAATGCTATGTTTATGGCAGATTTGTGCTATATTTTCATCTACACTATCAAGTGATTCTTGAAATTGCCTGTGTGTTTTCGAAGCCATACGAAGTACAAAAACAACTGAAATTTAAGTATGCTTACTGTTGATTAAATATGACCACAAAAGCACTGCTGCATTATTATAACATAAGTATTTTTTTAAAAGAAACATCTAAAAGCAAAATGACTGTCTCAAATAACTCAGTCAATATCAGGCATTGCATTTGAGCATGAAACTAAACTGGTACTATGCAGCGCATTCACCATGTTAATAAATGCTAATATCCCAAAACATCCTATATTAGATTAATCAGATATTACATTTAGTCATTTAGCAGATGCTTTAATCCAAAGCGACTTACAAATGAGGACAATAAAAATAGTCAAAACTAACAAAAGAGCAACAATATATAAGTGCAAATGACAAGTCTCGGTTAACCTAACGCAGTACACGTAGCAAGGTGTGTAATATATACAGTATATATAATTATATATATATATATATACACACAGTGGGTACGGAAAGTATTCAGACCCCCTTAAGAATATTCAACTGGAATACCAGAATGGAGCAAGACTGGATGCATGTTTGCAAAACGTTCTTAAATAGCTATTTGGCTATTCAGTGCTAGGTATTATATATTCTATATATATATTTTTTTTTTAATAAGTGGCTTTACCTTCAAGGATGCTAAAGGGTGCTCAGGCCCAAGTACACACACATATACACGCACACACAATAGAAAAAATAGAAAGCTAGTGGGTTTTTTGTTTGTTTTGTGGTTTGAAAAAAAAAAGGAAGATAATTATATATAAAGTAGAATTAAAATAGAATAGAAAGTGCTAGACTTAGAGGGTCAAATAAAGGTGGAACAGATGTGTTTTTAGTATCATATCATACTTGATATGCATGCAGCTAACCTAGACATCACTACGTGACTTCGAAGCCATGCTTCTCTCTCTTCTCACATCTATACTTTGGAATGCATGCTGTAGCAAGCTAAACAATCAGAGCTCAGGGTGCCGCCCAAAGTGCTGCTCTAACCAATCAGAAAAAAAAAAATTCTTCCACGAAAATCGTTTTCATGATCGATTATCGCTGTCACGGCCGAGTACTCTTGCACATCCCTTATATATATATATATAGATAGATTAATTATGCAGTCCTACATGGGGTTGAGTAATTGATGACAGAATTTTCCGTTTTGGGGTGATGTATCCTGTTAAATGTGCTACAGTGGTGTGTTATCTTACCTGGGAGTGCTTGAATATGTCTTTAGCAATAGCTTCCAGGTCATGGACATCTTGTAGGTTGCGGACATAGTCTGCCACGGCTCTTATGACAACATCACATGGAGGAAGAACGAGTTGGTGGGCACGGACCTGCGTCAGAGAAAACAACCCATCACACTCCCAGCAAAAGCTCCTTCTGCTTAAAATGTGATGGGCATCATAGGAGTACATATCTGACTGGGTACAGTCCGACAAATTTACAAAAACACACATTAGGTTTATCTGCTTAATTGACAATGCATATCATAAACTGCCACTTAGAGGCTTTTTATACAAGTAATTGCCAACTATAGACACAAACACAGACATATGCTAAAATGAACAGAGTGATAGCAACAAAAAGTAAAGAAGCACGCATAGAACTGTAAGTCAGGTGTTAAAGTCGAGTATAGCCGTCTCGCTCACAGTAAATCAATAAAGCCATCTGTCAAGCAACACCGACACTAAGAGAAGATAACAGAAGGTTACGCATGTAGCCATTCCTCAGCTCAACTCTTTCCTTTATAATCGCAGTGCTCAACTGTTTGGCCGAAATTCAAAGACCAAGTATTTAAAACCAAAAGGGTACACGTTGAGGACAATGCTGAAGTGATTTTGCATGGTCCTGATAAGTTATTTGCAAGACCTCATTTCAATCTGGTTGTCAAGGAAACTGGTCACAACGGCTTGTAACTGTGGGAATCTAATGAGAACTGAAGTCTTATTTTTGAACCATTTAAACATGAATTATTACACACAACACATTTATTTCCACTGTGTGACGCATTTACAAGTAAAAAATAATATTCAACTGGAATACCAGAATGGAGCAAGACTGGATGCATGTTTGCAAAACGTTCTTAAATAGCTATTTGGCTATTCAGTGCTAGGTATTATATATTCTATATATATTTTTTTTTTTTAATAAGTGGCTTTACCTTCAAGGATGCTAAAGGGTGCTCAGGCCCAAGTAAACTCCAGTGAAAGGCAGCCAAGTCTTCATCAGGCAGTATGTGATTCCCTATAAAAATAGAATTTAGTTATTTAAGCATGTATTGCAGAAGTACTAACTTGTAAACGTCATTATTGCAGCTGGAAAACATTTATCAGCCATGAAATGTAATGATTTGTGACACTATTGATAACATTTGAGCCATTCTTCTACTGCATTAGTAAATAAAGACAGTCAAGAAAGTTTGAATTTCATTAGAATTAATTATAATTGCCTTAAAATAAAAAAATACAAATTAATATAGTCAATAAAAATCCATTCACAAATGGCTTGCACATCATTTTACTTGCCTTATCTTACATGCACAAAGTTTGGGGTCAGTTAGATTTATTAATGTTTTTGAAATAGGTCTCTTATTCTCACCAAGGCTGCATTTATTTGATCCAAAAATAAATGCATAAATAATTCAAATTATTTTAAAATGTAATAAATATTATTACATTTTAAAATAAGTTTTTTTTTTTTTTTCATTTACTCCTGCAATGGCAAAGCTGAAATTATTCCAGTTGTCAGTGTCACATGATCCTTCTGAAATCGTTTGAATAAGTTTGCTGCTCAAGAAACATTCCCTATTATTCATGTTGAAAACAATCGCATTGCTTAGTATTTTTGGGAAACAGTGATTTTTTTAAATTTTTGAATCTTTTTGTAACTATGTACGTAACACTTTCAATCAACTTAGAACAACCCTGCTGAATAAAACTATTAATTTCTTAACGTATTGACCCCAAACTTTGCATAGGATAAAGACACACTATTTTGTCTTCAGAAAAACATGCACAGCTGAATCATTCACAATATGACTAAGAACATGCATTAGGCAAATAGGGCCAATGCAGATGTCCTTTTGACTTGAAAACTGACAGGCAATCCTACAAACCTACCTAAAAGTGAAGCAAAAATGACAAAACGATTTGGATTGAGATTAAGTTGCTTGGCAACTTCGTGCATCAGGTATTGGCTGGTGGTGAGGCTTTTGCCGTTGCGGCTGAGTTTGAGAGCATGGGCACTGAAGTAGTACGGGATGTTGCACAGGGCGTAATCAGAATCATAGGCAACCAGGCCATGGAACCCATTTTCTCTAAATAAGGCAATCACTTCCTGGTGATGATCCTCGATGGTCTGGACAACCTGAGTGAGGAAGCAAATTACAGGAAGGCTCATTAGAAAAACAAATTTACATTGATGAGATTGACTATTATACTGCAGGCTTTCAAAGATTTCCATGAAAAGATGTGAGGCACGATTAGTCTGGGAAATGTTATTTCTAATTGTATCATATAATGGTTTCTCTGTCAAATGCTTTAATTGATTAGCACAATTTGAACGAATCAATGAAGAGATGATTCTTTTTAAAACTATACATTGAGCAAGTGGATGTTCACTGGGCTTTAACTGATAGGAAACAAGGCTTGACTTGTAAACAAATTCATTTTTAAATCAATCATATTGCATTCATATTCTGCCCCACATTTCATAGATTCTCAATTGATCCAATGTTTATGAGTATAGGAGATAAGTAGAAAAAAATCCTAGTAGTATAATTTTCCATGCCTGCATAAATATCAATAATCCATACAATACTTATGCTAAAAGTCCTCTGAAAAATGAACTAAACAAATAAATGCAAATAAAAGCATTCATGGGCAAGAATCTCATAAGTCATGTGTCTCTCTGCTCAAAACAGGGCCAATAAACTTAGTCACAGACTGTACGGCTGCTAAATCTCAGCAGAAGTGACGCAAGGAGCATGCAGCCAATCACAGAGCAGTGCTTACTATTCTTGTGTCACAAGAGTGTGAGACATCAGCCAATCACAGCAGAGCAGACAGAGGTAGCGCTTCCTTTTGCCAGCACAACCTACTACTACATGGCTTCATTTCAGCAGTCATACATAAATGCATGTTTTTATTCTATTCTGAGAGGTTTGTATTTGGTTGTTACTGTATAAGGTTATTAATGTGTAGACAGACATTGCACCTTTAATTATTGTTGAAGATCCAAGAAAAAATATTTTAATTTTTTTTGTTATTATTTATACAATAATTACTTAAAACTGCATTGCTTGATTTTTAAATGTTGTCTTTTTGTATTTATTCACTTGTGCTTACTTTTAATCAGTTAATTTGATTGATTCTGCTGAAATATCATTGTAAAATAAAGGTGTAAAAATGTTAAGTATTTTTAGATTTGCATGCACTGTTAGGTGCATTAAAATATTTGACATTAAAAGACAGGCACAGTTTTGGATTTGGCTTTTAAACAAATTTCTAAAACACCATCTCATATACTAACACGACAGTTACATCCTGTACTGCTGACATCTCTGTTCCCCAAATGCCTGTGGAAATGAGATCTGATCAGATACCAGCAGCATGTCGTATAGATTTATGCCCAAGATCTGTCTTCCTCTGCACACCCACCCCAAGCATTTATGTACCAAAAAATTGGATCCCTGCTTTAAAAAATCTGAGCTGATTTGCTGGTCTGTATGTTGGTTCTAGAGAGGTATTGGGCAGTTTCAGTCGCTCAGTCAGGGAAAAACAAACCAGCTGCTAATCTTGGTTTTAACATGTATTATGATTTAAGACCTACACTGGTTTACATATGAATAATGCAATTACACTAACAGCCAAGTTTGGTCTACTGGCTGGTTTCAGATTGGTTTTGGGAACTTTTCAGCTTGGCCAGGCTGTGAGACCAGCTTAAACCAGCTGCTGATCTTGGTTTTAACATGTCTGTTTACATGAATAATGCTACAAGAAAACCAGGCTAGGTCATGATTCAAATCTAAAGAAAACAGTTTCACAGACAGCTTTGATTTGCTAGTCTGGTCTAACTACTTGTTTCAGATGGGTTTGGGGAATTTTTCAGCTTGGTCAGGCTGTGAGACTAGCTTAAACCAACCAACTAAGACCAGCAAACCATCTTAAGCTGTTTTGTTTGTCTAGATACACAACAAGAAAGCCGTCTAGGCCACCTGCTAGCTGACAACCTACTGTCTTGTAAGACGAGCACTTCACTTGATCTGGGTCTGCTTCTGCTAAGCTAATGGCTGCATGTCAAAAACACAGCGAGCATCTGTCGCTACTCACCCCGATGTGGAACCTGAGGAGCGCCAGGCGGATGCAGTGGGCCATACACACCGGGGGCAGGAACCAGACCTTGGGCGGCGGGGTACCCTTGTTCTGGACGTGGCTGACGATCTGCTGGGCGGTCTGCCTCTCGTTCACCTGTCGCTTGACCCACTCGTGGAGACGGCCTTTCTCCAGGGCGCCATTGAAGCACACTAGCAGCTCGATGTTACCGTTGAAACAGGCTTTGGCGAGGGCGGCGAGGTATCCGAGCATGTGGTTCCACTGGCCCCCGCTCACCCAGTCGGTGTAGAAGCCGCCGTAGAGCCGGTGCAGGCAGTTCTCGGCGTCCACTAGAAGCCGGAGCGGAGTTTGGGGGGGTCTCTGCCGGCCGCCGCCGACCAAACTCCCGCGGGCGAGTTTCTGGAGCTCCACCGGCACCACGGCATTGGGGCAGTGCTTCTCTATGTATTCCTGGAAACCCTGCACACCCATGACTGTTGTTGTACAATATGATATCTACTGTTATTTCGAGTTGAGCAAGAACGTAAAATTGTCTGTGGAGGAAATGGAGACAGAGTGAGAGAGAGTTGCAAGCAAGCAGCCTCTCCCGAATGCTGAAAACCGGACTGAAGAATATTGCGGCGGATGTGGAAGTTGATCAATCGAAAATCAGTCAAATCGGAGATGCATCTGTAGTTTTTGGTGAGTTGTTTTTTGGTTCATGGCTGCAAGCCGCCATGTGCACCCTTATGTAGCCATGTCTGTGGTCTGGATGTATCTGGTGTGTAGGGGAAAGAGAGGAGCGCAAAGACGCAGGGCACGTACAGTCACACCGGAGGAGGAGTCTGGAGTTCAGTGGGCGCGGTTCGCTGGGAGAACTGTTGCATGTTATGATCTGTTTTTATACAGTCTATGGTTATGATACTCTCACTATTATAAAACGTCTCATAATGGCTAACTGTTTAAAAATATATATTTCTCAAAACCATTTTAAAGTTAGTAGTAAAACTAGAATTAGCAACTTCAAACTCTACTCAATTTTAGTACTGGACATTTTAGCCATGTGTATTTTCTAAATAACTATTAACTTTCTTTTAACTGTCTAAGTAAGGATCCATTGTTATTAGTTCATTTACAGCTTTTTTAATACTTGGGGTCCGTCTGTTGGTTGAGGGTCTGGTTGGGTATAGCAAAACTAAATTGTTTCCTAGTTTCAGTCCATAGAGGGCGCCAGTGCGTTATTTATATTTGACATTAAAAGCCAGACATTTCTCATTAGCAGACAATTTTGCACATTCATGATCAAATATTTGATCTAACACATCTAGTATTTTGAACCCTTTTAATGTAAAACAGCTAGAGGACTTCGAAGAGATAGTTCACTCCAAAATGAAAATTCTGTCATCATTTTCTCACCTTGATGTCTCTACAAATCTCTGACCTTTTTTTCCCTCTGTGGAACTTAAAAAAGATATTTTGAGAAAAGTCTGTGGTTTTGTTTTTCATCTATACAATGGAAATCAGTAGTAACCAAAACATTCTTATGTTCTTATATCTTCTTTTGTGTTCCACAGAAGAAAGACAGTTATACAGGTTTTTAAAAAAAAATCTCGATGGTGAGTGAATGAATGATGATTTGGAATTTTTATGTATTTATCTATTTATTTTGTGAACTATCCCTCTAACTTCTAGGCTATCACATAAGACATAAACGGTCTTATAAACAGTCAAAAAATGTTGATAAGTAACATTTTATTTGTGTCTAGAAGAAATATTTTCACAGACATAATTATATGTGAAAAAACAGAATACTACATTCTTACAGTGTGTGAATATTGAAAACTAGAACATTGACAAATTATACAAAATTTTTTAATTAATTGTATTAAGGAAATATTTATATTTTGTTCAAACACTGAATTTTCAGACACATAATATAGTCATCTACATACATTTTGTCTATTTATTATGACCAAAAATCATTATACAGTGCCGGGCATTATAAAAGTGCAATTTTTCATTTAAAGTCTGAGGTTTGGCAGAATGAGAACACCACAAAGAATAAGACTAATAGATGCCCAGGTCATGTTTAAGACTGTTACTGTATTACGGTTTTTAAAAAGAGCAGATTATCCAAAAATTAACATTCTATGACAGAATTTCCATTTTTAGGTGAACTGTCACTTTAACATCTGCACAGCAACTAGCACGTTTTCTGCTTTGTCTTCATGTGTTTACATGCACAATGACAGTGATATTGCCTAATAACCCAACAACGACGTAAGTCCATGCAAACACTTCAAATAATGTTCTTTTATCAGGTATATAATTTTTTTTAACTGTGACAGCCCAAACCTGATTGCAACAGATTTTTATTTTTTTTATGTAAATACCTTAACTGGTATTTGTACAAAAGCTTTTATTCTTCCATCAGCATACTGTTGTGCATGTAAACACATCATGTCATTATTTGAGGTTATAATTAAAAGTTGTCCCTTTGTTACCTTTAACACTGCCTCCTCATCCAGACTAACAGGTTGAACAAAAAAAGGAGCTTGTTTTAAGGGTGGCTTGTTTAGACTCGCATACAAATCACACAAATTGAGATATTTCACAAATACCATGTTGTCTTCACCAGACAACCTCCACACGATAAACTGGGCAAACAGATGGCAAACTGCTGCTCAGACGTCCTGTGACATTCTGAAGTGTTGTGCCCTTTGAGCCAGCTCTTTGGCAATGTCCTGCGCCTCCTGGAGAGCCAGTTTGTCGGGGAAGTTCAAAGCTGCCTTCTTGGTCACCATGGCCAGTTGCTTGAGATGGGCACACAGCTGATTGCTCATAGACAACATTTCCCCGCTGGCCTCTCGATTTTTAGCTTCACTACACAGAGTGTTCACGAGTCTTTGGCCCACCATGATGACCAACTTGCTGTGGGAGATGAACTTTTCAGGGGGCTGTCCATCATTCAGGCTACTTATAAACACACTGATGGCCTTCTGAATAGCTCCAAAATACAGCCGGCAGTGGTCAGAGATGGAAGGCTTCCTGGAGGTCTGGAGTGGACTGCAGGGATTAACGGACTGTGATTTGGAAACCTTTTGAAGACACGATGAGTAATAAAATGGTTAGAGAGTCGAAATCAATGAGTTAATGCAATACGGTGAGCTGTACTGGAAGGGTCACAAGTTTTTACCGTTTTTTTCAAGGTATCACCATTCTTCTTTGATTTAAAACTGCTTTTGGGTGGCTTTGGTTGTTGGTCGAACTCTGTCTTTGTCTGTTGAAAAGCAATAGTATTGGTTAAAATTTTTAGGTAAACAGTATTATTGTTCATGTCTTGTATAATTTACTCAACATGACACAACCAGCCAAAAGGTTGGAGTCAATTCATAAAAAAAAAAGAAAAGAAATGAATACTTAATTCTTAAGCAACAAAACATCAAATCGATCGAATGTGACATTTATAATGTTATAATAAATAATTTTTCAAGTGATGATCATAAGAAATGTTTCTTAAGCAGCAAATCAGCACATTATAATGATTTTTGATGGATCATGTGATACTGAATTCAGCATTGCATTATACAGGAATATTTTAAATAGTGCTGACAAATGATTAATCGCGATTAATCGCATCCAAAATAAAAGTTTTTGTTTACATAATATATGAGTGTGTACTGTGTATATTTATTATTTATATATAAATACAAACACATGCATGTATATATTTAAGAAAAATATGTTTATATATTAAATATATTTATATATAATATAAAATATAATAATATAAATATATAAATGCATATGAATGTTAATATTTTTAAAATATATACTGAATGTGTGTGTATTTATATATACATATATATATATATATATATGTAAACAAAAACTTGTTTTAATCGTGATTAATCGTTTGACAGCACTCATTTTAAAATATATTAAAATATAAAACAGTTCTTTTAAATTGTAACAACATTTCTCAATATTATTGTTAATGGATAAAATAAATGCAACCTAGGTGAGCATTAAAACTTTTTTCTGGTTGCTTTTTTTTATTACCAACCCCAAACTTTTGAATGGTTGAGTATACAGATAATATTAATTAATGCTTATAAAAATGTACATGCAGGGATACAAGATATATCAGTGCCATATCATTTATCACTGCAGATATTAGAGATTAAAACAATAATATTTTCCCATGCATGTTCATTTCTTCTATTTTTACATTTCGATTAACTTTGCTGTCATTAACACAAGTCAAAAAAATTATTTAATAATACTATTACATGTCATCTTTAGCAAACTTCAAAATGAATATCCATTTTTCATACTGTACATTATAATGTTGTGATGCTTAAATTCACTTGTAGCATTTAAACTATTTAAATTTTTGTTAGCATGTTATTTTTAAATGTATAATGTGATCAATCACCTGTTGTATAAAGGCATGTGGGTTAAATCGAAACCTATGTGATAGTCTGTTATTACATTTTTGTATTTTTGGAGCACAGGTGTGCAGACTTTTTTCTATATTCATGAACATTTAATATCAACCATTTATCAGTAATAGGTCATAACATGAAAAGAATTATAGTGTGATTTGCCTACCTGAAGTTGGACATAGTCACTTTCATCTATTCCTGAGTCTACCATTGGTTCACTTTTGCTGTGACTTCTCCTTTCAGACGGGCCTATATTCTCCACCACTACTGGTTCCTTAGCCGGGACTCTGAAAAGAAGCTTTCCATTTGCATTCAGGATGGATACCAGCCTCTTCACATCCTCTGGTATGGTTCGAGCCACCATAACAAAGCGCTCCAGGTGGTCAGGCGTCTCTGACTGGCCGTCATCCTGAGCTAGCGTATCTAGCAGCCAGCCCAGATCTCGCAGAGTCCTTGCAGCCTGCTGAAGGATCAAGCCAGAGTCTTCAACGATGGAGAGCTGCTTCAGAAGCCTGGTCTGCAGGCTGAAGTCTGTCAGTCGCTGTGCGTTACCTCTGACATCCAAGGCGAAGTTCAAGAAGCAGGTGACGGAGTCAGTCACGTCTTCAGTGGCCATGCGGATCTGATGGAGGTGCTGACTCAGATGCTCTTTGGTTCTCCACTGGCTGCTGACGAACAGCATAAGCTTGGGCACAGATTGGCACACTGCTTCTTGCAGCTCAAGCAACCTGTTGCTGGCTTGCTCTTGTGAAAGTGTGACCTCACGCAAGGGCTCAGGTTCAGGAGAACTCAGCATGAAAGAGTCGCATGAGCTCCTGGAAGAACTGGAAGCTGTGGAGGAGGTGGACACCGTTGAGCTCCTCTGGTGGTCTTTGTTGTCCTCATCGTCCCTTCTAATTGTCGCTTCCACAGGCTGCCTGGACATTGTTCTGCCCCTTGAGGGCCAATGGTGAAGTTGGACATACATGGGTCCAGGTTTATCCCTGTACTCAAGAGATCCGTGGGTCTTTTTAGAGTCTGTTTCAGGAGGGCTTTGCTTTCTGGGTAACACTACAGGGCTCTCTGTTTGTTTAAGGCAAGGTGGGACATCATAGATGCATGAATTTGTTGCATTCCCAGTATCTGTACAAGACTGCACCACTGCATTGCTCGGTTTAGGGATGTCATAGAGGGGCTGGATGGGGCCATGCCTGTTTTCAGGCCAGCTATGATTTGGCAAAGTGTCATAAAGCGGCTTGTTTGAATTCATAGTTTTGGGTGGCATGGTGCCATAGTAACAAGTTTCACATCCTTGTTTTTGGGGGGAAACAGGCACGTCATAAATCCATTCAGACTTACAGGGTTTTGGCATGGTACTATAACCACATAGAGGCTTTTGAATATCCTCACTGATGGAGGGCACTGGGATGTCATAATTGGGGTTTTGGGAAGTCATTGGGGGTAATGTGGCGACCTAAAAAAGAAGCAAATAAATAGCATATTTCACTTAGAAATAGTTCACAAATTGATTCGATTCAGCTTCTGTACTGAATCAGAGATCCGTTAGTGAAGACAGTTTTTAATGTGTTTGTATGAGTTGCGTTACCATGCTTACTCTTTTCTTGGTTGCAGTCGCACATCTCGCACTTTGCAGCAGTTCATATCTATTATGAAAGTCTGTGTTTGACGTCACTGATGTTTTCCTTTCCAAAGGCTGCAGTGTAGATGGCTTTAAAAGACAAGTTACACAATTTATGATGCTTAGTTTGATCAATATAATTTGCAGATTATTTCACAATCTTCTCGTCTTTTAACTGAATAATCGAAAATGACTAGTGCAAGAGTTTTTAAACTTTTCAATGCCAAGGACCCCCAAAAATAATGTTTTCATGTACAAAGACTCAGATAATTAAATGTTATTTTGTAACATATTTTATTTTAGTTTCCAAAATGTAATAATGAGTTTTAGTATTGCCACTGTACTAATGTGAAAGACAAAACAAATAATTAATTAAAAAATAAATATATTTTATAGAAATATAGAAATATATATTTTTTCTGCCTATTCATATTAGATGCATAAACATGAGGATATTTTCAGTTTTCACAATACACGTTTTTCTCTATATTATTTATTTGATCATTTTCTATATTTTAAAATTATATCTGGATTTGTTTTTTATTTATGCTGTATTTTTATACTGATCAAACAATGTCTGTCAATAAAATAAATTGTGCGTAAGTAAAAATGTTTTCTATAATCATTGATCATTTCTACATTTTGCTTCTTCTTTTTAGCTATTTTTTACTCTCAGTTTTTCTGCAGGCCCTCTTGCAGACCACTAGGTGTCCCATGACCTCAACTGGAAACCCCTGGGCTACTGAACAACTCAAATAATAAAAACTCAAGAGGACTTACTGTGAACAAGGAGGGTTTTCTCACCAGGCTTGGGACATCATATATTTCTGTACCAACTCTGGCTGTTAAAGCCTGAAAAGAGAAAAAGTGTAAGTATAGACGCTAAAGTAAACAAGCAAAAATTTGAATACTCTATGGAGATGACAACATGGCCCACTTCTTAAAGCGAGACGGGATCATTTAAAGTGCTGTACACTTTACTGTGTGCCTGCCCAATTAACCCGTTTTTTTAATTGAAGCCATGCTACACATAAGCTGCTAAGGTTAACAATTCTCCCTGAAGCAGGAGGGGAAATGGGCAACATGTGAACCCAGCCACTACACCTATTACACAGTAATTGCACAGACACTTCCCTCTCTCTCTTTCTTTGTGTCTTTCTATCTCTCTCTCTCTCTCTCTCTCTGGGGTCCCTAGCCATAGATCTTCTGGTTACAGTTAGTGGTGTCTGAATTCTGTCGTTGCTACTCTTTTACAAGCTCATAAAGCCCTTGTGCTACATACCTGTCCCCGCAGAGAAAGGCCCCTGGTCCCCATCTGTGAACTCTTTGCCAGCAGGGTTTTCTGAGACATTGCTTATTATTAGCCTCAGTTCAACATACTGTATAGTCTACTAAATCATCTAGACATTCAGTTCTCCCTTTTATATTTTGGAATGACTGGCTATTGACATTCATGGAATATTTAGTGAATCACGTGTAAAGGTCCAATAACTTTAGCCTCCACACCAATGGACAATAACGTAGTTCATTATAAGCGCTGTTAATATGTCGTCTGCCACTTTAAATGCTTGAGGTCAAAGTCAAATGTATTCTGATTGGCTGTCAATGTTTTTTGTCATTCATTGGCTGGGAAAAAAAAAATCGAATCCGATTCCAGATTCTGAAAGTTCTGTTTATATGAACCCTAAACATTGCAATCGACTTCATATATATTTTAAATGTATGTAAGCATATGCAGCACAGCACTGTACATTATATGCAAGGTCTTTTTAAATATGATTACCTGAATCTGAATAGTCAGATTATGAATAATCTGAATTTTTTCCTGTTGATCAGATGATTTGAGGTCTACACCACCTGTTTCAATCCAATTGAAATTCATTCGGATCAAGCTTAGTTGGATTTATTTAGGTGTTTACATGAAGGCATCTCAGTCTGATTGAGCCATCAATCTGATTATGAACAGATCATTTGGGTGCATAAAAACATAGCTACTGATAGAAAATGTGCTGTTGCTCCAGTGAGAGACTTACGTCATGAGGAGACCTGATTCCTTCTAGATCCTCTTGTGCCGTGTGCTTCTCTGATGAAGAGGCAGCTTGAAGGGGCACTGTATATATTGTACTCATTTCTTCATAAATCGGAATCACTGGTGGCCTGCTAGCTTTTGGAGTTTGATAGATGTTCTGATGGCAGTGGTTGCTCAAGTAGTCCCTCTCTGTACCCAAGTTCATACAAAGTTTCTCAGCCTCTGCTGGGGAAAGCGGAGCCAGGCGGTTCGCTGGTGCCAGGCCCTGACATCCATGAAGAGCACACTTCCACCAGCCGATGCTCTCCGCCACGTTCTTCTCCAGCACCATGATGATGTCACCCTTGTGAAAGGCCAGTTCATCCTTGGTTTCGGCTGTGTTGTCATAAAGAGCTCTGGCAAACAGCGTCTGAAGGAAACAGAAGACAGAAGATGTGAGAGAAGGGCCTCTAAAGACAGCTACTGGTTAGAAGAAGACAATGAAGGACCACCATGGATGGCAGTGGTGTCTTGGAATTGGATTTGAACAAACAATGGCCTTGTGTGACATGGATAATGGGCCTTTGCGTAACTAGGCACAACTTCGTAGCCTTGCTGAAAGAATCCCTGTGACCTTGTTCCCTAGATGTCCTCTGAGACTTTGTTCAGATAGGCAGTAAAAATCCAACACAAATGTTTGTTTTTTGTAGTCTGAGCAGACTTTTTTTCTTTGTATTATTGAAATATATATATTATACTGCCATTATCATGATATATGCTCTGATAATGTGGTTTTGTTCTGTCTATAAATACAAAAGTTTGGGGTACGTGGCATGGTGCCATAGTAACAAGTTTCACATCCTTGTTTTTGGGGGGAAACAGGCACGTCATAAATCCATTCAGACTTACAGGGTTTTGGCATGGTACTATAACCACATAGAGGCTTTTGAATATCCTCACTGATGGAGGGCACTGGGATGTCATAATTGGGGTCTTGGGAAGTCATTGGGGGTAATGTGGCGACCTAAAAAAGAAGCAAATAAATAGCATATTTCACTTAGAAATAGTTCACAAATTGATTCGATTCAGCTTCTGTACTGAATTAGAGATCCGTTAGTGAAGACAGTTTTTAATGTGTTTGTATGAGTTGCTGTACAGGCGTTACCATGCTTACTCTTTTCTTGGTTGCAGTCGCACATCTCGCACTTTGCAGCAGTTCATATCTATTATGAAAGTCTGTGTTTGACGTCACTGATGTTTTCCTTTCCAAAGGCTGCAGTGTAGATGGCTTTAAAAGACAAGTTACACAATTTATGATGCTTAGTTTGATCAATATAATTTGCAGATTATTTCACAATCTTCTCGTCTTTTAACTGAATAATCGAAAATGACTAGTGCAAGAGTTTTTAAACTTTTCAATGCCAAGGACCCCCAAAAATAATGTTTTCATGTACAAAGACTCAGATAATTAAATGTTATTTTGTAACATATTTTATTTTAGTTTCCAAAATGTAATAATGAGTTTTAGTATTGCCACTGTACTAATGTGAAAGACAAAACAAATAATTAATTAAAAAATAAATATATTTTATAGAAATATAGAAATATATATTTTTTCTGCCTATTCATATTAGATGCATAAACATGAGGATATTTTCAGTTTTCACAATACACGTTTTTCTCTATATTATTTATTTGATCATTTTCTATATTTTAAAATTATATCTGGATTTGTTTTTTATTTATGCTGTATTTTTATACTGATCAAACAATGTCTGTCAATAAAATAAATTGTGCGTAAGTAAAAATGTTTTCTATAATCATTGATCATTTCTACATTTTGCTTCTTCTTTTTAGCTATTTTTTACTCTCAGTTTTTCTGCAGGCCCTCTTGCAGACCACTAGGTGTCCCATGACCTCAACTGGAAACCCCTGGGCTACTGAACAACTCAAATAATAAAAACTCAAGAGGACTTACTGTGAACAAGGAGGGTTTTCTCACCAGGCTTGGGACATCATATATTTCTGTACCAACTCTGGCTGTTAAAGCCTGAAAAGAGAAAAAGTGTAAGTATAGACGCTAAAGTAAACAAGCAAAAATTTGAATACTCTATGGAGATGACAACATGGCCCACTTCTTAAAGCGAGACGGGATCATTTAAAGTGCTGTACACTTTACTGTGTGCCTGCCCAATTAACCCGTTTTTTTAATTGAAGCCATGCTACACATAAGCTGCTAAGGTTAACAATTCTCCCTGAAGCAGGAGGGGAAATGGGCAACATGTGAACCCAGCCACTACACCTATTACACAGTAATTGCACAGACACTTCCCTCTCTCTCTTTCTTTGTGTCTTTCTATCTCTCTCTCTCTCTCTCTCTCTGGGGTCCCTAGCCATAGATCTTCTGGTTACAGTTAGTGGTGTCTGAATTCTGTCGTTGCTACTCTTTTACAAGCTCATAAAGCCCCTGTGCTACATACCTGTCCCCACAGAGAGAGGCCCCTGGTCCCCATCTGTGAACTCTTTGCCAGCAGGGTTTTCTGAGACATTGCTTATTATTAGCCTCAGTTCAACATACTGTATAGTCTACTAAATCATCTAGACATTCAGTTCTCCCTTTTATATTTTGGAATGACTGGCTATTGACATTCATGGAATATTTAGTGAATCACGTGTAAAGGTCCAATAACTTTAGCCTCCACACCAATGGACAATAACGTAGTTCATTATAAGCGCTGTTAATATGTCGTCTGCCACTTTAAATGCTTGAGGTCAAAGTCAAATGTATTCTGATTGGCTGTCAATGTTTTTTGTCATTCATTGGCTGGGAAAAAAAAAATCGAATCCGATTCCAGATTCTGAAAGTTCTGTTTATATGAACCCTAAACATTGCAATCGACTTCATATATATTTTAAATGTATGTAAGCATATGCAGCACAGCACTGTACATTATATGCAAGGTCTTTTTAAATATGATTACCTGAATCTGAATAGTCAGATTATGAATAATCTGAATTTTTTCCTGTTGATCAGATGATTTGAGGTCTACACCACCTGTTTCAATCCAATTGAAATTCATTCGGATCAAGCTTAGTTGGATTTATTTAGGTGTTTACATGAAGGCATCTCAGTCTGATTGAGCCATCAATCTGATTATGAACAGATCATTTGGGTGCATAAAAACATAGCTACTGATAGAAAATGTGCTGTTGCTCCAGTGAGAGACTTACGTCATGAGGAGACCTGATTCCTTCTAGATCCTCTTGTGCCGTGTGCTTCTCTGATGAAGAGGCAGCTTGAAGGGGCACTGTATATATTGTACTCATTTCTTCATAAATCGGAATCACTGGTGGCCTGCTAGCTTTTGGAGTTTGATAGATGTTCTGATGGCAGTGGTTGCTCAAGTAGTCCCTCTCTGTACCCAAGTTCATACAAAGTTTCTCAGCCTCTGCTGGGGAAAGCGGAGCCAGGCGGTTCGCTGGTGCCAGGCCCTGACATCCATGAAGAGCACACTTCCACCAGCCGATGCTCTCCGCCACGTTCTTCTCCAGCACCATGATGATGTCACCCTTGTGAAAGGCCAGTTCATCCTTGGTTTCGGCTGTGTTGTCATAAAGAGCTCTGGCAAACAGCGTCTGAAGGAAACAGAAGACAGAAGATGTGAGAGAAGGGCCTCTAAAGACAGCTACTGGTTAGAAGAAGACAATGAAGGACCACCATGGATGGCAGTGGTGTCTTGGAATTGGATTTGAACAAACAATGGCCTTGTGTGACATGGATAATGGGCCTTTGCGTAACTAGGCACAACTTCGTAGCCTTGCTGAAAGAATCCCTGTGACCTTGTTCCCTAGATGTCCTCTGAGACTTTGTTCAGATAGGCAGTAAAAATCCAACACAAATGTTTGTTTTTTGTAGTCTGAGCAGACTTTTTTTCTTTGTATTATTGAAATATATATATTATACTGCCATTATCATGATATATGCTCTGATAATGTGGTTTTGTTCTGTCTATAAATACAAAAGTTTGGGGTACATTTTTTTAAAGAAAATAATATTTTTATTCAGCAAGGATGCATTAAAATTGATCAAAAGTGACATTATATAGGTTAAATGTTACAGAAGATCATCAATAAAATGTATCACAATGTATTTTCAACAAATGAACACCAAATAAGCATTTCTGAAGGACCATGTGACACTGTAGACTGTTGAATATTCAGCTTTGCCATCACAGGAATAAATACATCTTAATATAATAAACAGTTATTTTAAATTGTAATAGTATTTCACAATATGATTAAATAAATTCAGTCTTGGTGAGCATAAGAGGCTTCTTTTAAAAAACATTAAAATATCGTACCGACCCAAAAGAATATGTCCGTGTGTTTGTGTATAAATAAAACTTGAATGACCAAAACATTTTCGGAACTTTGTTTGAATGCGTTCATTTTTGCACGTTTTTGTAATATTGAGTACTATAACTGAGAATGTGGGTGTCCAAAGACAGGTGAATGGATGAAATGGCTTCCTCTATGCTTGGTTTTCACTTCCTGCAACAGTATTCTTTAGAAAATTCTGGTCTAGACTGTTTAACAGTGGGAAACATTGTGAACAATGAATCCATTCAAATAATTTTTAGCAGAACTCTGTTTGTCTGTGAATTCAACAGTAGTTCCGGAGTTTGATGCTCAGGTGCTTCAATTGTCTGTACGGTTATTTATAAACAGGCCCTCAGACACACACAAACACCTGCACCTTCAAATCATACAGTAAACAAGAGATTTGATGCAGGTGAAATCTAGAGAGCCTCTCACTCAGCACACATTAGCAGTAGCACACACACATGCACACACACGTCTACTATGTGCACACGTCCCTTTAAACTCATCCCATGTGCTCACAAATTCCTCAGCAGCAACAGTGCACATGCTTAAAATTAAACAGCACTGGAGCATAATAGAAGAATACCTTTCATGAACATGAACTGTTAGTGATCAGAAATCTATTTATCAGTCTCTTAGCCTTATTCTCAGTTAAATAAAAAATACATGCATACAACATAAAGCAAAGCAAAACCAATTAAATGTCAAAGGTTATAAGCTGTTTTTCATTTTTCATTAAATGTAAAGTCATGCAAATCTGATTATACAATATTGTGTGAATATACTCAATCTTTCCTCGTTATAAACTACAGTATGTGACATTTACTATGCTGTGTGTGAATAAGTAAAAACTTTTAATTTGGGCACAATATATGCATGGATGTTTTGTTAAAGTTAGTTGCTTCAATGAATAATTCAGTAAAACATGTATTATTAGATTTTTAATTCTGTCTAAATCATCTCTAAATCACCTAACCCTAACCCTGAATATATAATTTATACATATTTAATACATAATATATGTATAGTATTTGATATTCTACGCACATATATCATTACAACACTTTATTTTAAGGACCAATTCTGACTATTAACTAGATCCCTATTAGCATGCATATTACTAGCATACTGGCTTTTTATACTTATAAAACACATATTTATGTCTTATACTGAACTACCTTACTAATTATTAATAAGCAGCAAATTGGTTTATGGAGGGAAAAATTGTGAATATGTCCCTATTCTAAGGTATAACTATTTATATATACAGTGTATATATACAGTTATACCTTAGAATAGGGAACATATTTATTTTTAATTCATATATACATATAGCCAAATATTGTCCTATTCTAACAAACCATTCATCGATGGAAAGCTTATGTAATCAACTTATATACACACACACACACACACATACATATATATAGCCCCCCCACCCCCCTCTCTCTCTCTATATATAGGGGACATATTTTATTATATATGTTTTTGAGTACAATATTACAAACAATATACAAACAGTATTTTAGAAATTATTTTATTTTACTTTTTTCTTAATACATTTAATCCAATCCTTTTAAAAGTGAAAAGTGAAAATTATTTGCAGGTGCTGTAAACAGACATTGATTATCATTTACCAGAATAAAAAAAAAATAATTACATTTATTTAAATTAAAACACTTAAATATAACTACTAAATTGAAGAGCTGTCTGCAGAAACAGGTGATCACCACCTCTTCAATGTAATGTACATGTGTGTGCGTGTGTATTCATGTGTGTGCAGTAGCTGATGTTCAGCCCCCCCCCACCCCATATCCTCTCCCCCGACACGCCAGCCTTCCTTCCTCAAAGCTCCACTCCCCGCTGATAAGAGACGGATGCAAGCGCTGCCTTAAATGGCTCATGGACGGCTCCTCTGCGACAAAGCCTCTATTCAGCCCACATGGCTGACATACTGAGCACCAGTTCCACTCGCAAGCCCTCCAGTTGATTGCAACGCATGCTCTGGTTAATGCACGCTGACCACAACAAACCGCAGACCCTCCTACACTGATCCACACAGACCAAAGCACACCAGGGCCAGTCCCAGCATGCTTTGTGTGTACATGAGAACTTTATGTGTGCTGCAAACGTATCCTCTCCCCCACGCCAGCCTTCCTTCCTCAAAGCTCCACTCCCCGCTGATAAGAGACGGATGCAAGCGCTGCCTTAAATGGCTCATGGACGGCTCCTCTGCGACAAAGCCTCTATTCAGCCCACATGGCTGACATACTGAGCACCAGTTCCACTCGCAAGCCCTCCAGTTGATTGCAACGCATGCTCTGGTTAATGCACGCTGACCACAACAAACCGCAGACCCTCCTACACTGATCCACACAGACCAAAGCACACCAGGGCCAGTCCCAGCATGCTTTGTGTGTACATGAGAACTTTATGTGTGCTGCAAACGAGAGCACCAAACCCAAGTTGCACCTAGCTTACTTTAATAGTAGACATGGCATGAGGTGGTTTTGTTAGCATACAAAATAATAGGATATGTATTTCTTGTGGTTATGTGTGAAGGGCCATTTCAGTTGTTTGTTTTATGTAGCACAATGCTAACTACAACAGAAAAACAGCAGAGTTTTCGGAACATGTACAATAATACAATATGCCTAATTTGCATAGAAAAGAATCACTGAATTTACACCGAAAAAGAGTACTTGTAATACAATAACTGAAATGTATTTATTTTTTTAGGTTACTGAATATGCAGAAACAACCACGCTGAAAAATGGTGTAGGATTTACTTTGAAACTATTTTCACTCAGAAATGGTCAATTTGACTAATTACAAAATCAAGTAACGCATCAAGTAACGCATTGAATGTAACATGACATTAAGTAGTATTTTTTTTAAGTGTACTCTAATGCAACTTAAAAATAAATAAATAAGTAAATAAGTGTATGTGTGTGTGTGTGTATATATATATATATATATATATATATATAGACAATATATATATATATATTTTACTGTGTATAAGTAAGTAAGTAAGTAACGTAGGCCTATATGGTAACTTACTATATGGCAACTTAACCAATTAACAATTTTGATTGTAGCAGCTACTTTTAGATTACGTCCCCGTTAAAATGAACATATAAATATATATATATATAGGCAATATATATGTATATATTTTACAGTGTATAAGTAAGTATTTTGTAGGTTGGTAGGTAGGTCAAACTCCGTTTGAGACATATATCAACACTGCCTCAACCAATGGCGTGAGTTTGGGGCGGAGCTATCCGTTTACCCCAGCCAATGGAAGAAGGGAGACTTTTCAAGAAAATCATTATCTTTGCAATTCTGTTTTGTGGTGCTGGTAACACAGAAATTAGGGTGTTTTCACACTTATTAACATATTTCTGCTAAAAAAATGGTTTGAACATTGTTCACACTGTTCACTACAGATAAACAGTTTAACCAGCAACATTTTGTGCTCAAATAGTGTGTGCTGAAATGGTGTGACTGTAAGTGAATTTGCCCCTGGTCAGTACAACCGCACACGTGTCTTAAAAGGGAAGATTGCTGAGTGTGTACATTTCTAAGTTTGTGTTTGGAGTATGCGCGTGTGTACAGTGAGAAAGGAGGTCAAATTCAGCTGGGATTCCAGCACACGCCTGCTTGTGCAGATCAGACTGGGACAGCTGGCCTCAGCTTTCAAGAAGCAGCTGTCTCTCTGCTTCATGTCTCTCTCTCTCTGCACATACGGGATGAAAACTGATATGCCATACTGTGCTTTCACGTAATGATCATTTCTAGATTCATAGAAAAAACTACAAATATAGAATATGCAATAAAAAAATTTATTGCACAATTCACTAGAATACCTTCGGAGCAATATTTTTGAATGAAAAAAATATATTTTATATATTTTGGTGACACACTATCAGACTTCTTTCAAAAACATTAAAAATGGAATAAAATTAAGATTCATTACTTCAGAAAACTACATACATTCCATACAAGTGTCACAGTAAGATTGTGTTCACACTGCAAAATGTGTATTTAGTGTGTGAAAGAATTTCCCATTCACTTTAACCCCTCAACCTAAGGGTGAAAGTGCAAAACCCCAGTGTCAGCACTCCTCAGCAGAGGATTCTACGTACAAGGCAAAAAAGGCTTGCTATGCAAAGAATGATAAAAACACAAACGTCAGATTTTTTCATCTTTAGCACTTTCTAATGCAATATCCATGAACCCACAAAAGA